GAATACATATTTTGGCACTCATATATGTCAGAATTTGTTTACAAAATGTGGGACATTAAAAATCACTTTACTAAAGTTCAGGTAGTTAGTGTCTATGACTATAAACTTTGTAGTTGTTTCGATAGAACAAATCCTAATTTTTGTTTTTGTTTATTTTAATCTTTTAAGATATTACCCTTCAGCCTACTCCAGCAATCACATACCGCACCATTGGGGGAATTCTGGACTTCTATGTGTTCTTGGGGGACACACCTGAGCAAGTTGTCCAAGAGTATATAGAGGTAAATACGAAATCATGGCTTTGACTGAATTCTACACACCAAACATTTAAGAGATGTAAATTTAACACATATGTGTGAGCTAGACACACCCGAGATGACACATATAAGACATAGGACAGACCTCATATATTCAAGGGAAATTTCTTTATGAAGTTTTTATATTCTAAAAATGTAAGAAGATACAGAGATGCCAAAGTTTGCCCTTACTCCGAAAAGGGAGATATAAAAGTTAACTAACATTATAATGTTAATGAATCAATACACTGAAAAACTGAATCTATCTTATACTCTGAACCAATGCATAAAAAGGCCTTTATTTTCAAAAGTTCTGTGCTGTGAGATGGACTAGTTGGTAAAAGATGGTTTGCAGCATGAACATGAGCAGTTGCATTCAGCAGCCCAGCAGTTCTGTAAAAGGCTGGATGCAGTGGTGCATATCTGTAATCTCACAATGGGGAGACAGAGACAGGAGAATCCTTGGGCAATGCGTCTTGGTCACTGATACAGTCACTAATTCATAAACTCCAAGTTCATGTGAGACCTTGCCTTAAAACTAAGATAGAGAGCAATTCAGCAAGATACCCTGTGTAAGCCATGTGTACACACACAACATTACTGACTTTTCATTTCACGTGCTTCTTTCAGCTCATCGGGCGGCCAGCTCTGCCTCCATACTGGGCACTTGGGTTTCACCTCAGTCGGTATGATTATGAATCCCTAGAAAAGATGAAAACAGTTGTGGATCGAAACCGTGCAGCAGAGCTCCCTTTTGTAAGTAAACTTGAACACAGTTCTCCAAAAAGAAATCCACGGAGGAGCAGGAACAGCCTCTGCCTTCCCCATACTTTTCCTCTTTTAGTTCTTTCGCTTTTTGGAAACAGAATGACTTTTATGCACTTAGAATACTAGAGACTTTGTCGGATCCATCCCTTATTTTCCAAGAACTGTAGTTCTCACTAGGAAGCAGTCCTTGCAGACTGGCAGTACAGATGAGGCAGCAACCTGGTTTCTGACTGTGTATCATTCTACTGCTTCTATTTCCTTAGGCTTGTCGTGTCTGCATTTTTACAGAATTTAATTTTGACTTAAGTTAGTTCTCCTTTTAGCTCAGATTTTAGCTAATGCTTCTCCATGTAGGTTTATTACCTTATATTTAGTCTTGGTTAGATTGTTTGGATTTAGAAACATCATGGCAGAGATTGACTATAACACTACTATAAGAGTTCTTCTCCAAGGTCTTGGTAAAAACTTGATTCTCGGGTTTTGTGTCAGGTAACACATAATGCAGGCCTTCCAGCTCCCAAACCCTAGATCCCGAAGAGTTAGGGCAACACACACACACACACACACACACACACACACACACACACACACAGAGAGAGAGAGAGAGAGAGAGAGAGAGAGAGAGAGAGAGAGAGGCACGCAGGGGCGCGCGCACACACACACACAAAGAGAGAGAGAGAGAGAGAGAGAGAGAGAGAGAGAGAGAGAGAGAGAGATGCATGCAGGTGCGCATGCACAAACATGCACAAAACTGGTTCAGGCTCAAGTAATCTAAACTGGCTCAGACAGGTAAGAAACTAGTTAAGTTAGGGAAGTAATTTCATCATAACCATTTATCTTCTTGGTGACAGTGGTTTGTCATAAATTGTGCAGTTAATCTGATTGCAGGGGCAGGGTTGAGCCTTAGGCAGATAAGGAGGACATTTGTTTTCCAAAATAGCTCTGGAAGAAGATGAATTTGGTAACAGATAGCTCTGCATTTGGATTCCAGTACAGGAGTTGGTTTTCCTCTTGAAGACTAAAGGTGATACTGGTGATTCCCTTTAGCAGGGAAATTCAGAGGTACTGAACTGTGCATGCTGCTATTCTTTCAGGATGTGCAACATGCTGATATCGATTACATGGACCAGAGGAAGGACTTCACTTATGACCCAGTGAATTATAAAGGCTTCCCGGAGTTTGCTAACGAGTTACACAATAATGGGCAGAAACTTATTATCATTTTGGTATGTGCTTCCATTTTTAATTCAGAAATCAGGTGGTTGCTCATCCTTTTTATTATGTTCCCTTCTCCCTACTTGGCCTCCAATGAGATGAAGATATTTTAATGCCTTCAGTAGTTACATTTGAATGTGCATGTTTTATTGGAGACTTGATTGAGGTTCAGTCTTTAGCTTCAAGTAACTTTTTTCATTGTATTTTCCATTTTCTTAGGATCCAGCAATTTCCAATAACTCCCTCCCAAGTAATCCCTATGGCCCATATGACAGGGGTTCCACAATGAAAATCTGGGTGAATAGCTCTGATGGTGTAAACCCAATTATTGGACAGGTAATTTAATGGAGAAGCTGTGGCTCTGGCTTTGGTTGGGTGGTGAGTGTGTGTAGATAAACGTGTGGTTTTCTGGTACATCTTCAAAGGACTTGGACAATCTGAGGATAAACTTTTCTTTGTCTTTTCATACCCAAATCCTACCATCTACCCCAGCTCTTGTTTGCTTTTCCCAGCCACATCCCATTAAATGGCAGCTCACTCTCTAGGTGTCCACTTCCTTACTCTGTCCCCTCATGACACTCCAAAAATATGTCTCACATTGCTCTACTGGCACTGCTTGGAAAGTGGCACTAGTTATTGCCTACTACGGAAATACAATTGAAATGGGTCATGCCACTCTTGACTTAGTTTCTCATCAATGAATAATACACTTACCACTTTTTCCCCCTAAAATATTTCGTTGTCTTGCTTTTCATGAAGGTATTATCTTCTGTTTAACTTTGAATATCCTCTGTAACCCTTCAGTATATAGAATCTGAGGGAATTGGACAGATAAAGAATAGAGAAAATCTTAGAAAGATATGTTAAAGTAATGTTAGAATCTACAGATTGTAATGGATCAGTTTAAATTTGTACAAAATGTATCTCCATTTTCAGACTTTAGTAGAAGAAGCAACATGGAAATGTGAACCAGAATTGAAGATTGGCAATTCATTTAAATAGTCAATCAACATTTTTAAGATTAATTTTCTCAGGTGGCTTTTCATTTCCATCGAGAGTAATCGAGTCTCCATGTTCCGAGTGATTTACTCTCCACTGAGAAGACTTGTGCCTTCTTCCTCTGTCTCGATGATCATATTAGGAATTTCTACATAAAGTTCTTTGTTACTTCTACATTCCCTTCCTTTTTGTCCCCCCACAGGTCTGGCCTGGAACAACTGTGTTTCCTGATTACACCAATCCCAGCTGTGCTGTGTGGTGGACAAATGAAATTGAGCTGTTCCACAAAGAAGTGAAGTTTGACGGAATTTGGATTGTGAGTGGCAACACTTTTACTTATACAGACATTCACAGTGTGTATCTCTGACTATGTCTTTGAACCATAGAGCAGAGAAAGGAAATAAAGACAAGTGTCACATATTCCTTATATTGTTATAAAGTACACAGATTGTTCCATTGTCAGTTTGAGGCTCTTTTATTTAGGCATGATGACAGATTCATCAGAACCAAGATGCCCAGGTATAAAATACCTTTCTGGCTGTATTAAGGAGCAATGTCTCATAAAACATCAAATGAATATGAATGTAACTCAGATGCCTTTAAATAAAATTTAGACTTACAGTAGAAAATTTTCTATTTATAAAAGAACTGTAGAAAATTCAAATAATACAATCAGCTAAAAGAATGACAGCAAAAATTCTGTAAAATGATATCAACGAAAGATGTTTACAATTACTGTTTTTCTATTTCCCCTTCCAGACCTTCAAGTTTACAGCCCTGGCACATGGATACATAGTCTCCCTTCACTATCTATTCATATATATTTTTATAGGTGCCTATGCCTATATGTAGGTAATATTTAGGCACATAAAACTATAGGTTAAATATATGACAGCAATAAAACAGAACATTTTTGATAATGTATCTGGGAATTGTTTACTTTAGTGATTATAAACACACATCATTTTAAAGCAATTCTAAGAACTTACTTTGTGAAATTTGTAGTGAGTAGAAAAGAGAGGAACATGTATTTCTACCATATCCATTCTTTAAAGAAATACATAGAAAAATGTATCTGATTCTAAGAAACAAAAAATACCATCATTATGAAAACATGGCATGCTACTCTGCCTAATAGATTTGCTCTCTGTCTGGCAGGATATGAATGAGGTCGCCAACTTTGTTGATGGTTCCTTGTCAGGATGTGCCATAAACAACCTCAATTATCCCCCATTCACACCAAGTAAGTCATTATGGTCAACCTAATTGATGTGGCAAGGTGTATGTGATATTTTAAATTTACAAGGATATTTCTGAACCATTGGACAAGTGAGTCTGCGCATAATGTTCACAGGGAAAGGAATGTGGATACTACATAAAGAAAACTAGGAAAGAAACTCAATACATTGTTCACAGTCTCTGAAGAGTCATAAGTTCTCAGTGGGTAATCTAGTTCTTCTATGACCAGTCAATGCTCTTGTGGGGGAAATTCCAAAACATATATGATGTATAGAATCTAGAGGTTAGTGATTAGCAAGTGTCACTTTCTAGGTGAACCTCCCTAGAGCTTACAAGAGAGAACAGATGGGTAGTCTTGGCCTTCAAGTGAGGCAATCATCTGGTAATGAGCACAAATTAAAGGAAGGGCATAAGTCACATAGTCAAATGAACCTCAAGCTCTGAGGATATGGTTATGGAACCACAGTATTAATTGTTGTTTGAGTGCTTGCTTTGGCAACATATATACTAAAGTTGGAACTATACAGAGAAGATTATCATGGCCCCTGCGCAAGGAAGACATGCAAATTTGTGAAGCATTCCATATTTTTAAAACTAAAATGACAGGAACTAGCAATCACTGGCCATTAATATCCTTTAGTATAAATGAACTCAATTCACGTGTAAAAAGACACAGACTAACAGATGGGATATGAAAACGGAATCCATCCTTCTGCTGCATGTGAGTAAAACACCTTGACCTCAAAGACAGACATCACCTCAGAGTAAAGGGTTGGGAAAAATTTTCCTATTAATGGACTTAAGAAACAAGCTGCTGTAGCTATCCTAATATCTAACGAAATAGACTTCAAACAAAATCAATCAAAAGAGACAAAGAAGAACTTTTCATATTAGTCACAGGAAAAATCCATCAATAGGAAATTCTCAATACTGAACATCTATGACCCAAATACAAGGGCACCATCATATGTAAAAGAAAGACTACTAAAGCTTAAATCACACATTAAACCCCATACACTAATAGTGGGAGACTTCAACACCCCACTCTCACCACTGGACAGGTCTGTCAGACAGAAACTTAACAGAGAAATGAGGGAACTAACATGTTATGACTCCAGTGGACTTAACAGACATCTATAGAACATTCCATCTAAACATAAAGGAGTAAACTTCCTTCTCAGCACCTCATGGGACTTTCTCAAAAATTGACTGCATACTAGGTAACAAAGCAAACCTCACCTGATACAAAAAAAAAAAAAAAATGGAATAAGCCTGTTGTAATTGGCCACTTGTTTTGTTTCCTGGCTGCCTGGCAGCTCAGACCTGAAATAATCACACAGAAACCATGTTATTTAAATCACTGCTTGGCCCATTGGCTCTATCTTTTTATTGGCTAACTCTTACATATTAATTTAACCTATATCCATTAATCTGTGCACCACCACGAGGTTGTGGCCTACCAGCAAATTTTCAGCATGTCTGTTTCTGGTTGCTCCATGGTTTCTCTCTGACTCCACATTCTTTCTCCCAGTAAACTCCCAGAGAGTTTACTTTTCCTCACCTAGCCAAATATTGCCCTGCTATAACTCCAAAGCAGTTTCTTTATTCATTAATTGTAATCATAGCATACATACAGAGAGGAATCCCATATCACATCCCCTTTTCTGTTTAAATAAAAAGGAAGGTTTTTAACTTTAAAATAGTAAAATTATATATAACAAAACAATTATCAAACAATAATTACAGTTATATTATATATATATCTACTTTATCTTTTATCATAACTAAGGAAAACTATAACTATAAATTCTTCAACTCTATCAAAGACTCCAAAAGGATATAATATTACCTAAGTAAACAGGAAGTGCATCATTAGCAACTTCCAAAACTCTAGAATTAACAGAGTCATCTTGCTGCCTGGACAGTCCCCCAAGGTTCTTCTGTACTGTTGGGGCATCCATCTTCAGCCTATAGGCCTAAAGTATCTGGCAGACTTTTCCATGAAGCAGAAAATTTCAAACAGTTCCAAACATATATTGGCAGTTTACCAGTCACTTTCTTCTGTGTCCTGCAGAATGTCTGGCAGACTCTTCCATGAAGCAGGAACCCTGAAGGACTGTTTTACCTTCTTTAGGCAACCTCAGCAGTCATTTTTCTGTGGCTCTTTCATATCAAGTTCACACAGCATACCATAAAGCAGTCCATGCAAGAGCAGTTTCTTGCCCAAATGGCTAGCAAACTCCATATGGAGTCTCTTCGATACCTATCTTCCTCTTAAAATAAATGGTGCTGCCAGGAACATATGTGTCTCATTGTCATGAAAAGTTATAAATTCTTAAAACATTTAGATACCATATTCTGTAGGTCTTTGAAAGGTTTGAAAAATGCCTAATTGAAATATATCTTTCTATATATCTAGAAAACCTAACTAACATGAATAGAAGCTTGACTATTACAGACTGTTATATCTATTAACCTATATTTTGTAGTTATACATTACATTTTAAAATGAGTTACACAAACACAATACCTTAATCAAGAGTAGAAATACAAATATAACAAAATTGACCTTAAATTTGTATCAATAGACCAAGATCCATACCAATGCAAATCTCTACAGCATATCCCCCTTTAAATGTAAACAAACATTTATAAGCAATCATTTAGGGATATTGGTGTAGTTCTCTTCATTCTGCTTCCTGCCGTTTATTGGGAAAAGTAATTTTTGAGGGGTGTTCAAGATGACCTTTCAGGGGGTTTGGTCCATCAAACCACACTAGTCTAGAAGTATTCCACAGGTTCTTATCCTCTGTGGAAACAAAAGAAGAACCTCTTTTCCAAAGTAATATATCCTTAGACTCAAATTCTAAAGTCAAGATATCTTTAAAGTATATATGTTGGTTATTTAGCTCCTTCACAGTCAAAAAATTCAAAGACAACACAATAATATTCCTAATCCAGACTGTGATTTTTCCATTTTTATGTGACTTATTTTTCTTTACTCCTTTTAATCTATGGTTGTCTGTTCTCTGTCTCTTTAAAGACTTTCTTTTATTTTTTATAAACCATTTACTTCATTTTATAACTCTCTATACTCTGTTTCTTCTTTCTCTCCGAAGCCCACATACATTTTTTTAAAACACACTGTGTCTCATTTACAGGTCTTTTTCATCTTTATTTGTCTTTATTATATATCTGAAATTATTTTCTCACCAGAAGTGTGTCTTAAGAATCTAAGCTGCAGTAATTGCTACTGTATTTATGGCACTATCTGCTTGCTCTGCCCAGTCCAATATGGTGAAGGAGGTCTGTTCACTGCCTCTGAGCCACGTTCACCACCCTAGTTACAAGTATGCAGTGGGTCTATATAGAGCCATTAAGTAGTTTGTAACACACTGCTTACTTACAAATCCCATTTAAATACTCGGTCTCCTGAAAGAGCCAGAGTTCGTGCTGGCAGCATGGCCCAGGAAGCTGCTGTTTTTGAAAATGTGGCTTTTTTTTCTGTTATTGCTGAATCTGGAAAACCTTTCTTAAAGGAGCTGTGGCACACTGCCAGCAACCAGCAAGAAGCTGTGTTAAACTGGGTATTTTTGTGTCTAGAATTCCTTGTCAAGCTCTCTCAGGTTTTTAAGTGGATTTTAATTGGTCATCTGGGTGTCAATTTGTTGTAACAGGCTGTTTGCTTGTTTCCCGGCTGCCTGGCAGCTCAGACCTGAAATAATCACACAGAAACCATATTATTTAAATCACTGCTTGGCCCATTAACTCTAGCTTTTTATTGGCTAACTCTTACATCTTAATTTAACCCATCTCCATTAATCTGTGCATCGCCACGAGGTTGTGTCTGTCTTTGGTGGCTCCATATCTTCTCCCTGACTCTGCCTTTTTCCTCCCAGCATTCAGTTTAATTTTCCACACATAGCTCATTATGCCTTGTTATAGATACAAAGTAGTTTCTTTATTCATTAATGATAATCACAGCATACAGAGGGGAATCGCACACCATAACCCATCATGATTCAGATCACCATGAATTAAAGTTATAATTCAACAGCAACACTAATTTCAGAAAGCCCATAAACACATAGAAATTAAACAATACTCACCCGAATAATCAATGGGTCAAAGAAGAAATAAAGGAGAAATTAAAGACTTACTAAAATTCAATAAAACATACCCAGTATTATGGGACACAATGAAAGCAGTGTTAAGAGGAAGTTCATAGCACTAAATGCCTACATAAAGAAGCTGAAAAAAAATCCCACACTAGTGAGTTAACAGAACACCTGAAAACTCTAGAATAAAAAGAAGCAAACTCATCCAACAGGACTAAATGGAAATAATCAAATTTAGAGCTGAAATCAACAAAATAGAAACAAAGAAAACAATACAGAGAATCAATGAGACAAAGAGTTGTTTTTTTTTTTCAAGAAAATCAACAAAATAGACAAACCTTTACCCAAACTAGTCAAAAGACACAGAGAGAATATCCAAATTAACAAAATCGGAAATAAAAAAGAGGGACATAGCAACAGAAACAGAGAAAATCCACAGAATTGTTAGGTCATGTTTTAGGCCTGTACTCCACAAATTGGAAAATTTAAAGGAAATGCCCAATTTTCTTGATAAATATCACTTACTGAAATTAAATCAAGACCAGGTAAACAAATTAAATAGACCTATAACTGCTAAAGAAACAGAAACTGCTATCAAAAGTCTTCCAAAAAAAAAAAAAAAAGAAGAAGAAGCCCAGGGCTAGATGGTTTCAGTGCAGAATTCTACGAGATTCTCAGAGAACTAATATCAATACTCCTCAAATGGTTCCACACAGTAGAAGAAGAAGAAACATTGCCAAACTCCTTTTATGAGGCTACAATTACCCTGATACCCAAACCACAGAAAGACATTACAGACCAATCACACTCATGAACATTGATGCAAAAATACTCAATAAAATACTGGCAAACTGAATCCAAGAACACATCAGAATCATCCACCATGATTGAATCAGCTTCATCTTAGAGATAGAGGGGTGATTCAACATACAAAAATCTGTCAATGTAATCTGCCATATAAAGAAACTGAAAAAAAAAGGAAGGAACAAAAGTAGGATTATAACACTCATCATGGTCACTTCAGTCTGAGGGCAAATTAGGGACTTGAGGCAGATGTAGGTCAGAATCAAATGTTGAAGAGATTTGATGAGAGGCCAAACAGTCATCACTTAATTCCTTCTGTGATAGAAGCTATTTATAGTTTTGATAGAAGGTTGTAGGACTGTCAACTGGTTTTAGAAGTATTAATCTGGTATTAACATGTAGAATGAATTTAAAAATAGGTCAGAAGTAAATAAATTACCAAGAAATTATTTTAATAAACAGAATACACAGTTCATTTCTGTGGGAACCACAGTGGTACAGTAGGAGCAGAGAATAAATGACTGAAACTAAGACTAGAAATCACTCTGCAATATATGATCAAGAGAAAAAAAAGTCAGAAGTTAAATTACACTTTAATTCAATGTTTTGTAGTTTGAGCCAATTGCTTTGGAAAATTCTGATTGAAATTTTAGCTGAACTATAGTCTA